AATGAACCAAAATTATACTTAATTTTTTTGTCAGATCAGCAAAAAATAGAATATATTTTTCAGTAAGCTGCAGAATTTTATTAATTAGTTTATGTGTGCCATTAGATGAAAAGGTTGAAAATCACTGCTGTAAAGAATTCAAAACTTAAGAGACACACTTATTTTTAAAAAAAACAAAAATTTAATAAACTTTTCAATTTTGATTTTTTTCCCCAGACACCCAGCTATATTACCCTCTTGGTATACTGAACAAAACCTTGAAAGAGACTGTCAGTTTTCTCCCTTGACCAGCAAAGTTTTATACAGAGTCCCAAAAATAATCAAATTATTTTTACATTGCACATACAGTGACCCAATGCAAATAGCCAGACATTAGTTAATATGAATATAGTATAGACACTAAAATTTTAATTTATAGTTTCCTAGATAAACAAAGGATGGTAGAAAGAATAAAATTAACCTTGATATTTTTCTACTATGTGTCGGAAATTGTGCCATGTACTATACTTATGTCAACTCCTTTATATATACACATGAAATGCAAGCACATGTGATTATGATACTACCATCTTTTAGATTTAGCCCTTGGGAAAGATTTCTCTTCAATTAAATTCCCACAAAGTAGGTAACAAATGGCAAAGATGTATAAAAATTAAGTCTACTGCCATGGGTCCCAGGCAAATGAAAAGTCAATTAGAAAGACTAGGAGAAGGTATCCTCAGGAAACAGGTATTTTGATGTTTTAGCTTTTCCCCCACAGGCTAACAAATAATATCTTCCAATGATTTCTGAAAAACTGAAAAACTACCTTACTAATTAAGAATACATTTGGTCCAATTACAAGTTCCCACAAGGAAGAAAAGAGCTGATAAGCCCTTTTAAAGCCAACAAACCAGATTTCAATTATGTTCTATAGGGCCACTTCACAGAGCAAAATTTCCAAGAACAGCAAAAAACAAAGCTTGTTAGCTCCTGTCCATGACCAAGGACTGCTATATACCACATTGCTGCTTCTTTACTTTTGGTTTTCAAGAGTTTGATTATTTTGAACATCTTTTCTTTGGCTTCATCCTGCATTAGTCTGGCAAGCTTCCTCAATCTGTAAGTTTATGTCTTCATTCAGTGTTGGGAAGTTTTTGGACATTAGTAGTTCACATAATTTTTCTGTGCCAGTCTTTCTCTTCTCCTTCTGGACTTGAATGACATTAATGTCAACCCATTCATATTGTCCCTCAGATCTCTAAGGCCTCTTTCTGTTTTTGTTTTGGTTTGTTTTTCCAATATTTTTTTCTCTCTGTTCTCCAGTTTGGATAATTTTATTGGTCTATCTTCAAGTTAACTGATTGTCAATTCTACTGTGGTATGGAGCTAATGCAAAAAACTTTACGTTTTAGTTATTTTTCATTTGTAAAACTGTTGTTTGATTCTTTTTTTATAGTTTTTATTTCTCAGCTGAGAATTTCTATCTTCCTATTTCAAATGTGTTTACATCATAAAGCACAATTTTAATAGTTGTTTTCAATATTTGATATTTCCAACATCCAGATCATCTCAGGATTGGCACCTACTAATTGTCTCATCCCTTGGGAACTGGTCATATTTTACTAGTTCTTCATACATCAAGTAATTTTAGAATGTATCCTGGACATTGTGAATGTTGATGTTGTACAGACTCTGGGTCCTGTTATAACCCTTTGAAGAATATTGATTTTTGTTGGTTTATTTATTTGAGCAGGCATATAACTTAGTTAGGTTCACACTGCAATTATCTTTTATAGAAACCACTTTATTTCCATCAACTTTACTTCCATTTTGTTTATGAGTTTATGGAAGCACAGCTAGACCACTCAGTGGTTATCCGTACCCATTCAGTGGCATGATCATGGAGTGGGGGCGACAACTAGTCTTCAGTGGCAGGCTGAGCACTCTAGTGTTCAGTAGGAAACTGCTGAATAGGCAGAGGGCATCTGCAAGCCTTCTGACCAGTCTGAGAACTCAGGTTGAATAGCAATAAATGCAGAAGCTGGAGCTGTCCATTCACCCTGAAATTCCTCCTTGGTCACAGCCTTGTCAGCATCAGCCTGCTGTTATTTTTCGATCTCTTCAGGATCTCTATAGAAGCAGAGATCAGGCATGACCTCCCATGGGTGCTCATAGATGATACCATGCATGCACAGAACTTCCTGAGCCAGCATCCCTTGAGAAACCCACTGAGTGAGCCCCTCATTGTTGCATGGGATGGCAGTGTCCACACAGAGCAGAGGAGAGTCTGTGTCACACAGAGAAGAGTAGGCAGATCAACATTTAATGTCTCTGTGAGAGGGTGGTGATCAGCCCTGGGATCAGTAACCACCAGAAGTCTCGGCTCCCAGAAGGCTGCCTGGATCTGGTTAGGGAAGGTTCCAGAAGCAAAACAGTGGCTCCAGTGACAGCAGCAAACTTCAGCACAGTTTTCACTGATAAGTTCTTCTGGATGATTAGGCACTGACATATGCCAGATTTTCAATGGCAACAATGGCACAGCCTGCCTGCAGAAGCTTCTCCCAGATTCTCTTAAAATCTATGATACAGATGCCATCACTTTTCCTTTGGTAAATGTACTGTTCCATTTTTAAGTCCAGGTTCATGCCACCTAAGTCGGCTCCCAAACCAAGGAATTTGAGGACACCCTGCCTTCTTCAGTTGCAGGATATTAAGGGCTCCGGACATGGTGAAGTTTCCCTCTAAGTTATGACAGGAACCCACAACAATGTTCTGTGGACCCCACTGTAGGTAGCGCAGAAAGGCCAGACTGCAGTTTCTGTTTCACCTTCTGTAGACAGTGATTCCAATGTCAGTTCGGTTCTTATAAAGACTTTGCTATGCTGTCCTGGATCTGGTCCCAAGAAGTATGCCACTCAGAGGGTTAACCTGAGACTTGGGTGGCAGTTTAAAACTTGTTTGCAACAATTTGGGTCTGTGCATTCAAAGCTTGGCATGAGCTTGGGACATATGCAGGTTCTTACACAGAATCAGAGGATGACTTCCTCCAGCCCTCTTCTTCTCCCGGGTCCCCTGCACATTCTCTGCCCCACGTGGTTGTCTTCACCTGATTCCTCAGGCCAGAAAAACATTAATTTTAAGGTGCTTCAGGGTTAACAGGAGCACTGTATTATATGTTATCTTATACTCTAGTAAAATGATGAGGCATGAGATTAGCTGCTGTGACCAGAAAGACTAATAATATCATTCCTCCAAAAGGTAAGATGAAGGTCAAAAAAAAAAACCCAAAAACCAAACTATCATTACATTGCACACACACACAAACTATCCAAAATCATTATGTTTTTACCTAACTTTTAAAAGTTCAGTTCAACTGACCAAATAATAAACTATAAGGGGAATTAGATATGAATGGAGAAAAACAACTGAAACAACTAAAGTCATCAATGCAGCCTTACCGAAGATAAACTAAAGTGTTTAGAAAGACAAAACTTGCAACAAACTTCTATGAAATCATGAAAGTTATGCACAGAGTAGGTCTCAGAGACTCAGATTAAGCAAAACCCCAAATATTCAGACTAAAAAATATACTTAGAAACTTAAATTCAAACTATTTTACATAGCAAATTGTTAAAAGACGGTAGACTCAAAAGCTTGGTAAGTTTCTGTTAAATATTTAAATTAAATCATGGATAACAAATAGTGATTTCAGGGAAGCCAATGAAATCTGAGGTATGACTGTAACCTCTTTTGTGTCATTAAAAACAATAGTGTCTATCTGCACAACTTATTGGATGAACCATAGATATTATTTGACATTACACATAGATATTATTTTCTTACACATAGCCTTATTCTTACTGTATATTTTAAAACTTCAGGAGTCTTAATATACAAGCATTGGCCAGAAGCTAATAAAACAGCAATAATTCATTTCTTCTACTTCATAGAATCATGGCAGGTCGTCAAATATTTTTAAGAACTTTTAATTATTTTGATTCACATAGAAAATGTTCCATAACAAATAATATCTACAAAAGCTATTTTTAGGTTTATAGCAAGTCTTATAAATATAAATTTCAGTTAGTAAATAATCTGAAATATAGTCAATGCCTTATTTAATAAAGTCACTTTCAATTCTTTTCCCCCCCAGCTTTATCTGGAGTATAATTGAAAAATAAGACTGACAGATATTTAAAGTATATAAAATGATGATTTCATAATGTATACATTGTGAAAAAATTCCCTCCACTGAATTAACACATACATCGCCTCACATATTATTTACTTTTGGGGGCAAGGGGAGAGAACTTAAGTTCTAGTCTCTTAGCAAATTTCAGTTTTACAATACAGTGTTATCACCTATAAGTCACCATGTTATACATTAGGCCCTCAGACCTTATTCATCACACAACTGGAAGTTTGTTTTAATTCATAAATTGCTTTGGAGACCAAGGATATCAGCGAATTCCTGCATTTATTAAATACAGTGAAAGTATCCTTTAAAATTGCTACACTAAAAATATTATCCAGCCCTGGCTGGTGTGGCTCAGTGGACTGAGCGCTGGCCTGCAAACCGAAGGGTCACCAGTTTGATCCCCAGTCAGGGCAGATGCCCGAGTTGTGGGCCAGGTCCCCAGACTGGAGTGTGAAAGAGACAACAAACTGATGTGTCCTTCCCTCTCTTTCTCCCTCCCTTTCCCTCTTGCTAAAAATAAATAAATAAAACTCGGGGGCGGGTATGTGTGTGTGAAGGGAAAAACTCGGGGGCGGGGGTGGGTGGGGGTGTGTGTGTGTGTGTGTGTGTGTGTGTAAAAAATCTGACATTATCACCTCATTTTTACTGTACTTTGACTGAACAAAGTACATCATAGAGGGTTTCTTTTGTCTGTTTTTTGTTTTTAAGTTAACAGTTTAGCACTAAGAGACATTAAGCTCCATCATCATAAAAGGAAGTCAGGGATGGAAATATATCTCCATATAGAAAAAAAGAGTAAAAATACAGCAAATATACATACTCCTTTTGGAAAGCCATGCACAGCGGAGAACTAAATCCAAAGACTAGGCACATCTGGGCATCTGGGCTGTAGCCATGCCGGAGTAACATTTCCAGGCAGTCTTCATGTCCTCCAAACACTGCTGAGTAGACAGGGCTCACTTTGTCTGGCCCAGTGTCACAGATCCGGTTAGTAAGTGGTATTAGCAAGTCCAAGATTCTGCAAGTACACGAATATAAAAGCACTTAATGTGTTTATATGCACATAAGTATAGACAACATTTCTACAGCATACATTTAAAGAGTCACCTATTGATATATGCATAATAAAAGTCTGTCTTCAGCATAGCTTCTACAGGCTCTGTACTCCAAAATGTTACACTTATTACTGTTGCTCAAAAAGATCTTTAAATTGATCCTAAACAGAATTAAATAGTGTTCTTATAAATAAATAGGTAACAGGGTGTTCTTTCTTATTTTTTTAGTAATTATTTACCTTATCATCATGACCCTACTCCCCAAGATTCAAATTTTATGTTAGATATTTTAGGATCTAATCAATTATTTCAAACTTCATTGTAGTAAATACAAACTTGTATCAAGAAGTAAGTTATTTTCCTTCTTACAGTACAAACTAAAGTGTTACTTTTCTAATTAATAAGAATTTTTTTAAATGGTAAGTAACATGAAATGAATAGTATTTTCATCAGGAAGAAATCAGAAATTCTGCTTAAATATTCTGTTCCCTCAAAAAGAATATGAGCTCTTTAAACACTGAGGGAGATTTACAAAGAAGTTGACTGGTAAGCAGAGAAAGTTCTTAAGAAAATCACTAAAACAGAAGTCCTTCTATTATTTGTGAACTTACCTCCAGCACTCAGCTGGAGAAAAAGGACGAGTCTACATTTCTAAAATTAAAAATAAAACTAGAAATAATGAAAGCTAGGAAATCCTCCCTTTCTGGGAAAAGAAAGGCAGGACTACTCCAAAGCACATTCTTTCTCTCTGATACTTGTCCTTATATAAGGCAGGCCTAAGATGATAACAGTATTAAAGCAGAGTTTACACTGACAAAACTTACCTTAGAAGTAGTATATGAAAGAAATCATCAGTGACAAACAGAATTCTCAAAATTGAGAATGAATGAGGACAAATTCCCAAGAGCTCAGAGTATAATTCCTAAGATTTATATTTAAATAAACAATTAAGAATTAAGGAAAATACTAAATTTTAAAGCCCAAATACTGTGTTAAAATAATTTGTTTAAACGTCTTAAACTTAACAAAGGTGTTTAATTTTTTTAAATTTTATTTATTTATTTTTAGAAAGGGGGAGGGAGGGAGAAAGAGAAGGAGAGAAACATCAGTGTGTGGTTGCCTCTCCCACACCCCCTACTGGGTACCTGGCCGGCAACCCAGGCATGTGCCTTGACTGGGAATCGAACTAGCGACCCTTTGATTCACAGGCCGGCACTCAGTCCACTGAGCCACACCAAACAGGGCTAATTTTTTTTAACGGTTTAGAGAAATACTCTTCCAGGAAGCAAAAACAGGCTTATACAAGTATCTTTACAAAAATAGTAAAATACCATGCCACCTAGTGGCATAGTAACCAAATTGCAGAGTCTGCTTTCCTACTAAGCACACTGACAATTTCACTATAATTTTTTAATAAAATAGCTATAAAGTTATTATTGTAAAATTGTGACTCTAAAGACTTTAATCATACATTTTAAAAACCCACTCACTGCCAATTTATGTTACGATAAACCACTGTATTCTTATAGGTATAACCAAATTAGCTTCCAAGATTCCTGGAACACCCAATTTCAAGGAGTTTCCAACCATCTTCTCTCTCTCTCTCTCTCTCTCTCTCTCACGCACACACATGCGCACATGCACATGCACACGCACAATACCAAAAATTTCATAAGAACTTTTGGCTAAGGAAAAAGAAAGAGTAATATAAGCAGGGTCAAGCACTGGTTTGGACTTGAGATTAGATAGATAAACAGAAGTGTAATCAAAGGGTTCAAAATGGCAGAACTACACAGACCACACAAAAGAAAGACTGGACTCCAACAAGGATCACACTCAAAAGCTTTCTGGATCACGGAGATAAGGTAAATAAGCAATAAGGTCATCAGATAGCTAACTAGAGATGCCTGGGATAAAACTGGAGAATGGTCTAAGAGTATGGCCATAGCTTGGGAAACGAGGGGAAAGACCTAACACCCTGAGAAAGCCCCTGGGGTTGTCGCATTCCCAGACGCTGCACCTGCCTTACACTAGAGCAGTGCATGACTAAGAGGATGTGGGGATAGCATCGGGGACAGATCTACTGTGGAGGTGGATCTACTCACTCAGCAATTTGGTAGAGGGGGCAATATCAAGGATTTTCTCTGGAAGTAATAGGTCTGGCCCAGAAGACTTATTCCTCATTACTTTCCAATTATGAGACTATTTTTACTTTCCATTTTTAACACTTACTCTGTATGGCCCATCTGTGCAGCTGCATGAATAGGTAACTGCCAATTGTCCTCATTACAGTAGAGATTAGGATCTGCCCCACTGGACAGCAAAAGCTCCACACATTCTGTGTGGCCCTCTTGAGCAGCAATGAACAAGGGAGTAGCTTTGTCCAAGGCTTGACAATTGACATTTGCACCTAATACAAAATAAAACATTTAACAGATGACTCTTATGTATGGGGTTTAAAAAAACATAATAATGAACATAAATTTCAAAGCAACTCCCTTAAAAGGGTTTCATAGTACAGGTGACCCTTGAACAATACGGGTTTGAACTGCATGGATCCAATTATATGTGGATTTTTTTCCATCTTGTAAACAGATGACATGAAGTTACAATATCAATAAATACCCAGGATGGTCAATATATTTTCTCTTTTGATTTTCTTAATAACCTTTCTTTTCTCTAGCTTAGTTTATTGTAAGAATACAGTGTATAATACATAAAACAAAAAACATATTAATTGACTTAATGTTATCAGAAGGCTGTCGGCCAATAATAGGCTATTAGGAGTTAAGTTTTGCGGGAGTTAAAGTTAAATGCAAATTTTCAACTCTGTGTGGAGGAGGCTGGTGTTAGAGCCCCTAATCCCCACATTGTTCAAGGGTCAACTGTGCAAAAGTTTCCTCTCCTCAGTGGATACTGTTGTATAAACATATTGATTTACCTAACTTGCTGGTAATTATTTAAATTGTTTTTGCTTTTTTGTTGGCAAGAAAACAAGTTATTAATATTTGAGAAATCATTTTTAAGTTAAAACAAACATCTTAGCCAATGAAGGATTCATTTCATTCTAATCCCTCCTCCAACAAGCATTCTGTGGTTCCAATAAATAATCGTTTAAAAAGGTAAAAAGCAAACCATCAAATATGGATAACATTTCTGATAATTACTGAAAAAGATAAGAAAAAACTTAAATTATGAATCTTCGTAGATGCCACTAATCAATTCAGGCTAAGTTTTATGAAAAAAATCCAGTAGATATGACATACATGGGGGCTGTGCCTTAAAACTACTATTGACTATTACATTCTTTTCTTTATGGCCAATGCATGATAAAGCCTACAATAAAAGGAAAAAAAGTCTACTTAAATGGGGTCTGAGCTGATTTTTTAAAGCACAAATTGAATCAATTATTTAGATATCAGTATATAAATTATTTAGACACCAGTATATAAAGATATGAAGAAATTGAAAGTGACCTCAATATTTGTAAAAGCTTTCAAAATAGCAGAAAGACTTGCCCAAACTTTTCTGACAATTAATGTGTTAAATATGCTAACTATGATGATATTACACAATAGTGAGAATTTTAAAATTTCTGAAATATATCTTAGTGGGAAAATCACTGTTATCAAGGGGGAAAAAATGATTTTTTATTTAAAAGGATGTTCCATAAAAACCTTTAACAAGCCAAAGCCATGAGATGGGTAAAAACTATGCAAAACATAAATGTGTTTATGGACCCTTCAGGTTCTCTAACTGGACATTCAACATGTCTAGATGGACAGAATCTTAATATAAAGTGGATGCTTCACCTACTACCAGCCTCAGAAAGAAGTAGACACTATTACTGAGGAAAGATTGAGTCAAGAAAAAAGCCTATTTAACTTTCTTTTTGAAGAAATGTTTCATTTTAATTGACAATTTCAAAGTCTCAGAGAATAAGGAACCAGTCCCTATAAGATTACAGGTAGAAAAGTTGGGAAAAATGACAGATAATTCACTGACAGTAAAGTCATTTTAAGGGGTGAGAAACATTAAAATTCACATTATAAACATACTTACATATCTTTTTTCAACTTGCTGTTCATAACTATTCAGAGAGAAGGGGGGAAAAAAAAAAAGAACAAAGCAAAACAATAGGTGCTTAACATCCCAGGAGGCAGGCTTGGCATGAGGAGAGCCACCAAGGTGCAGTTTAACCTATTTTCTTCTAAATATTAGTTACACACTAATAATTGGAATTGTGGCACTGGAAGCCATAAAATGAATTAGCATAGTCCTCAGGAAGGTATAATGGAGGAGAAGGAAGATGAAGAGTTGGAAGGCCTGGGTCCAAGTCCTGATTCTGCCAAGAGATATTTTTCAGATCTTTGGCAAGACACTTAAACACTCAGAACCTGGGATTCCTAATATAAAAACACATGTTTAAATAAGTGATTTTGAAGATTCCTCTCAAAAAAAGATATACAGGCTCATCTCTTTAACAGAAATCTTAATTTGACACTTAATGACCAGTTGTTTCTTTTGCTTCCTACTTCAACTTGAGTATTTGAAGGTTTGTAAAGAGAAATTAAAAATAAGGAAATACATGCCCTGCTGTGTAAATACTTTCTTTTATGTATTTAGAGGTAATTTAGTAAAAGCCTAGGTATTACAGGAGGTATATGAAAAGCATAGGTATTTAAAAATTTTATACTGAATGTAATTGAAAAAAATTTTTTTAATTTGTCTGATGGTAAAGCTGGTGTATTTCCCTTCTGCTCTTAACTACCCATGCTTCATCAGGTTAGCACTCATGAGGGCATATGAGGTGTTTGGACAAATTTAAAAGCCCTTACGTAACAAATGTTCTGGTCCCAAATGTCACACAGTATAAGAATGCCACCTCAATTCCATTTTCTCTGAAAATGCTGAAGGGATAATGGTTGTCATGAAGAAACCTTTAGCAGGTTTATGCTGCTATTAACATAAAAAGGTATAAACATTCTTTGAAATAAACCCATTTAAACAATCATACAATCGATCAAAACATATAACTCAAAGGCTTATCTAATAAATTAATCAATCCTAAAATAGCTTTCTGCCGTACAAAATTGGAACTACTCAGGTCCCTCTAAGAAAAGACAGCCCCATCATTCAGCCTCAAACAAATATGCTTTAGTGATACACCATTATGTTTCTCTTCAGATAAATTAGCAGCTGTACATTGCATTATGCTAGTAATAGACACTTTGTAACCAGACTTATAAATTAACTTGTATGTACTCTTATTTACCACCAACATAAAACCATAAATTTCACAACCTGATTTACATCTGGTCAAGAATTCTTCCTCCAAGGAGGATACACAGTTAACATTCATGATCTTAACAGTGCAAAGGCTAATGGATTAATCTTACCCGATGAAATAAGTATGCTCAAACTTTCTAGTTTGCCATACTGAGCAGCCACAAATAAAGGTGTGATTCCGAAGTCATCCTGGCATTCCTTGTTTGCTCCTCTTTTAAGGAGCAACTTTATGATTTCAGCATTTTCCTAAAGCACAGATTCATGTTTTAATAAGAGAAAATAGAAGGTATCTCTTTTCTTATCACTGTGTTTTGTTTTGTTTTTCATCCTCACTAAAGGAAAACCTTTTTTAAAAAGTTGACGGGTTGGAAGTATTGGATTGGCCAAAAAGTCCATTACATTTTTTTCCATACATGGCTCTAGTAGCACTTAGTTGTCTTTAACTTCATTTGAAACAATTTTGTTAAATTGTATTGTGACAGCTGTCATATCAGCATCCATTTAAAAAAACTTTTCAAAATTGGTGAATTTTTTGCAGCTATTTTAATATTGAAGATGGAAAAAAATACACAAGATTTTTGATGTATTATGCTTCATTATTTCAAGAAAGGTAAAAACACAACTGAAATGCAAAAAAAGACTTGTGCAGTGTATGCAGAACATACTGTGACTAACTGAATGTATCAAAAATGGTATGAGAAGTTTCTTGGTACTACTGACCAAGAATTATTTTGGCCAAATAATTCTTTGCTGCGGGGCTGTCTTATGCATGGGAAGATGTTTAGCAACACCCCTGGCCTTTACCCACCAGAAGCCAATAGCAGGAGATAAATGACATACTCATAATATCCAAATCAATAAAGTTATTGGTGAAATTGAATAATGTGTCTTTTAAGGAAAAAACTAAATGAACTTTTTGGCCAATCTAATATTAAACGATCAGATTATTATACACCTTTAGCAAGCCCATTAAACAGATCTCTAGGAAATATAATCCTTATAAAATCCTGTAAAATTAGCTTGCTAGCCCAAGCACTAAAAGTTATCACAGTTTCTAAACACACTGTTCTATTTAAAATAAGCCAGTGCTCCTTATCAATTTATATCCCAAGGGTTCTGATGGTCTCTTAACTATGCTATCAACATTTGAAAAACTTAGATAATCTGTGTCCCAAAGCTGCTGAAACTACTAGAGCAGTTGGCTTATTCAGAATGATCATTAGCATTTAGACTGCCTTTTCTGCACTGTAGTAACCATCATAAATCACAGGCAAGTAGGAAGCAAAAACTGTATAGAACTGTCATTTTAAAAGGGTAAAACACACAATTTACAGGAAGATGAAATAATAAATTCTGAAGTTACCTGAAAAGTAGCCTGGTGCAAGGCATTCCATCCACACATAGAATGGGACCCATTAACATTTGCTCCATGTCGAAGCAACAGCCTTAACACATCTATCCGTCCATTTTCAACAGCTGCAACACAGCAGTCAAAAAAAATTATTGTCAGTAGAAAGGCATATTTGTAGGACTAGATACTTTGGTGATGTTCTCATCACTTACTCACCTTGAAATTCACAATGCTGTGATCATTCCTATCAACAAATCAAAACACATACTCCCTATGCAATGCCAAAACATTTATCACAATTTTCTTAGCCCAAACCCATTAATATATACATCCTTTCTGTGCACATGCAGGTTATTTACAATTGTGTTTTAAAAGATAGAGGAAACAAAAGCAAGAAGCAAACATTTATTCTCTCTGATAATGGAGACAATATGTTTCTATTTCGTTAAAAATGCAATTGAGAGGAGAATGGGGCAAACAGGTTAGAAGAAAGTCTCCAAATGATTGAAAGGTTTCCTATCGTTATCATTCGATCAAAAATGACAATAGTCACTGGCAACTGAATGAGAAATAACTGAAAGTTCTGCACATTGGGTATTTTTTGCCATCATACACAGCAATCATTGTTAAAAATAAAAATAAAGCTTTTTCGCATCAGGTTTACCACCAGAACACAGGTGTCGCAAAAACTGCCACTAAATCAAAGCCAAAATGGGAAAGGAGAAGACTCAAATCAACACTGTGGTCACTGGACACATAGATTCTGGCAAGTCTACCGCTACTGGCCGTCTGATCTACAAATGTGGTGGGTCCAACAACAGAACCATTGAAAAATGTGAGAAGGCTGCTGAGATGGGGAAGGGCTCCCTCAAGCACACCTGGATCTTGGATAAACTGAAAGCTGAACACGAGTGTGGTATCACCATTGATATCTCCCTGTGGAAATTTAAGACCAGCATTATGTGACCATCATAGATGCCCCAGGACATGGAGGCTTTATCAAAAACATGATTACAGGCACATCTCAGGCTGACTGTGCTGTCCCGATTGTTGCTGCTGGTATTGGTGAATTTGAAGCAGGGATTTCCAAGAATGGGGAGGCCCAAAAGCATGTCCTTTTGGCTTACACACTGGGTGTGAAATAGCTGATTGTTACCAAAATGGATTCCCCTGAGCTGCCCTGCAGCCAGAAGAGAATGAGGAAATTGTTAAAGAAATCAGCACCTACATTAACGAAATTAGCTAGAACCCTGACACAGTAGCATTTGTGCCAATTTTTGGTTGGAATGGCAACAACACGCTGAAGCCAATTGCAAACATGCCTTGGTTCAAGGGATGGAAAGTCACCCATAAAGATGACAATGCCAGTGGAACCACACTGCTTGACACTAATTGCATCCTGCCACCAACTTGTCCAACCAACAAGCGCCTGTGTCTGCCCCTCCAGGACGTCTACAAAATTGGTGGTATTGGTACTATCCCTGTGGGCCGAGTGGAGACTGGTGTTCTCAAACCCGGCATGGTTGGTGCTGGTCACCTTTGCTCCAGTCAACATTACAACTGAAATAAAGTCTATTGAAATGCACCACGAAGCTTTGAGTGAAGCTCTTCCTGGCAACAATGTGGGCTTCAATGTCAAGAACTTATCTGTCAAAGATATTCATTGTGGCAATGTGGCTGCTGACAGCAAAAATGACCCACCAATGGAAGCAGCTGGCTTCACAGCTCAGGTGATCATCATGAACTATCCAGGCCGAATCAGTGCTGGATATGCACCTGTTCTGGATCACACAGCTCACACTGCTTGCAAATTTGCTGAGCTGAAGAAGATTCATCATCATTCTGGGGGAAAGCTGGAAGATGACCCAAAGTTTTTGAAACCTGGTGATGCTGAGATCACTGATATGGTTCCTGGCAAGCCCATGTGTGTTGAGAGCTTCTCTGATTTTCCTCCTCTGCTCCACTTGGCTGTTTATGACATGAGACAGACAGCTGCTGTTGGTGTCATCAAAAGCGGTAGACAAGAAGGCTGCTGGAACTGGCATAGTCACCAAGTCTGCCCAGAAAGCTCAGAAGGCTAAATGAGTATTATTTCCAACACCTGCCACCCCAGTCTTAATCAGTGGTCAGAGAACAGTCTCAGAACTGTTTGTCTCAACTGGCCATTTAAGTTTAATAGTAAAAGACTGGTAAATGATTACCATGCATCATAAAACCTTCAGAAGGAAAGGAATGTTTTGTGGACCATTTGGGTTTTTTGTGGGTGGCAGCTTTTTAAGATAGTTTTTTTAAATCAGTACCTTTTAATGGAACAAAACTGACCAAAAATCCATCACAGAATTTTAAGACCTATTAAAACAAAATTTAATGAAAAAAAAAATTAAACTTCACTTATTTGAACTTAAAGGGGACTCCGGATAAAGAGTGTTGCTAAAGAAATGCATTTAACTTAACTACAGTGACTGAATCTAATGACTCACTTTTGAAACAATATGGCAGTTCCTCCAAAAATTAAGAATAGAGCCACCATGTGACCCAACAACCCTCTTCAGGGTATGTACCCCAAAAATTTGAAAACTTTTATTCATAAGGATATATAAGGTCTGTCTGGAAAAAAATGTACATTGTTAATATAACAAGAACAGTTTGCACGACATCAATGTAACCTGACAGCCAAGGAGAATGGACTGGAACACACATGTGAACAATGATGATTTCACCGTACTAGTCATTGGGGGGCGGTAGAGGCCATTGAGTGAGCATTTATACTGTGTGGTCATTGCATTTAAAATGACTGAGTGAGCAGAGCAACAAATCTGCATCAAATTTTGTGTTAAGCTTGAACATTCCTCTGCAGAAATTGTTTGGATGATTCAGAAGGCCACAGCTATGAGCAACTGGTGATTGGCAGCTTCATCACAACAACATGGCCGCTCATGCATCACGTCTTGTGCAGTTTTTTGGCGAAACATTAAATCACCCTGGTGACTCAGCACCCCTAAAGCCCAAATCTGGTGCCCTGCAATTTCTGGCTTTTCCCAAAATTAAAATCAAATTTGAAAAGGAAGAGATTTCAGGCCATCAATGAGATTCAGGAAAATATGACAGGGCAACAGATGGCAATTGGGAGAACTATGTGAGGTCCCAAAGTACCTACTTTGATGGGGACTGAGGCATCATTGTTCTATGTACAATGTTTCTTGTATCTTGCATCTTCTTCAATAAATGTCTCTATTTTTCATATTGCATGGCTCAGTACCTTCTGGACAGACATCGTATGCACCCCTATGTTCACTGCAGCATTATGCATGGTAGCCAAGAGATAGAAACAACCCAATTATCTTTCGATGGATGACTGGATAAAGAGGGTGTGGTACATATAAACAACGGAATATTACTCAGCCATAAGAAAGGGTGAAATACTTCCATTTGCAACAACATGGATGGATCTTGAGAGCATCATGCTTAGCAAAATAAAATGGAAAAGGGCAAGAACCATGTTAATTTCACTCAAATATAGGCTTTAAAACAGAAAGCAACAAACTCAAACAGAGATAATGGAAGGGTGGTTACCAGAGGAGGGGAAATAAGGTGGGTAAAAGGGGTAAAAACTTATGGTGATGGAGGGACACTAGACTTTGGGTGGTGAGCACACAATGCAATATACAGATGATGTACTATTATTGAATTATATACTTGAAACTATGTAATGTTACTAACCAATGTCACCCCACCCAATACACTTAATAAAAAAAGTAAAATACATTTCTAAAAAAACTAATGGCTCCCAAGTTGCTGGTAAAGTAGGTCCTTCAAAGGATAGTTTGCATGCCTATAGATACCTAAACATCATGTGCCCTTTTACAAATTTCACCGAATTATTCTTTCTTTTTCATATATCTAATTTAACATTAGCACAAGATATGTGTAGTTTAATATCATGTACATATAACAATTTCTAAATCCTACCTAGTGAAGGTGAACATAGGTATAATGCTATTAAGTTAATAGAACAAACAAGTAGGGCTAAACTTTCCAGAATGTTATCTACTATAAAACTTTCTGCTATGAAGATGGCAGCAAGCCTGGAGGAGTTAATGAAAAAAATAATAATAATGCCAGAAGAGAGATGCACAGTACTTAATTAAATAAGTATACATACACACATATTCCATTAAGTACATAAGGTATACTGTGGATGCTATAGGTGTGAGGCTATAACAATGACTTCTCAGAATTACAAGTTTGGGTAAATATCAGCATCTATAAAAGAAAGAGAGCAGAGATGTGTATAAAGTCTAATTTCATGTGCTTGGTAATGGAAAGGAAAAAAAATAAGATTTTAAATTTTACTCTAAGCATAGTTATTCTACATCTTCTACTGTAGTAGGAAGCAGGAATCAAGAACTCTCAATCAGAAATTAGAAAGTTACTAAATATTTGGCCACACTTAAAAAATGCTAGTATAGATATAACAATAGGAAAATAAAATATCGCATTTTGCCATGTATAATGTGCAATTTTTTCCCCAAATTTTTGAGGGAAAAATAAGGATGCTCATTATACGTGTATAGTACTAATTCTGTATCTACATAATGTTTTTAATTCTTTTATTTATGCTTATGTGTTAAAAGTGTAAGTCTAGAAAGCAATAATGACATTCGTATGCAAAATAATACCCTGGAATATGATAATTGGTTTTGTTTTAAATATAAATAATTAATTAATTAATTAATTAATTAAAACAAAAGTTTTTTTTTTTTCCTGAAAGTTTGGGCCAGAAACGTGGGTGCACAGCAAAATACGGCACTTAAAAGTATAAAATAAGAAACAATAAATGTACTCATTATTATTAAAGACGGTAACATGTCTTTGATATCTATTAGTTTTGTATATTGAATTTACACTAAAGCTTATTTTCCCCATAAGAATCGTACCCTGGCCTGGTGTGGCTCAGTGGGTTGAGCACTGGCCTGCAAACCAAAGTGTTGAGAGTTCGATTCCCAGTCATGCCTGGGTTGCGGGCCAGGTTACCAATAGGGGGCGCGTGAGAGGCAACCACACAATAATGTTTCCTTCCCTTTCTCCCTTCCTTCTCCCCTCTATAAAAGTAAATAAATAAGAT